GTCTTGAAGCTCGACAAAGCGTTGTACGGGCTGAAACAGGGCGGCCGCAAGTGGTACGAGACCCTCTGCGCCGCACTTGCTGACCTGGGCTTCACGCGCACAGAGGCCGACTACGGTGTTTTCTACAAGCGCGACAAACATTTTGTCATACTCGCCATCCACGTCGACGACTGCCTGATCACAGGTGACTCCCGCTCCCAAGTCGATGACTACAAAAAACGTATCGCGACTAAGTACAAGCTCACGGATCTGGGTCCAGTAAGCTGGCTTCTAGGCATCAAGACGAGTCGCGATTTTGTCGTGCGCACACTCTCCTTGTCGCAGCATTCGTACATCGACGCGATCATCACGCGCTTCAATTTCGATGACCTCAAGCCCATTTCGACCCCGATGGACCCACACGTCATGCTCTCCAAGGCGCATTGCCCGGAGACCGTGATCGGTGTCGTGCGCATGAAGCGCGTCCCGTACCGAGAGGCCATTGGTGCACTGATGTACGCCGCCCTAGGCACAAGGCCCGATATCGCGTTCGCCGTGACAACGCTGGCGCAGTACTCGGAGAACCCGGGCTGGACTCACTGGGAGGCGGTGAAACGGGTCTTCAGATACCTCCTCGGAACAAGAAACCTGTCGCTGGTCTACGGAGCGCGGAAAAACGAGCTGGAGGGATTTGTGGATGCGGACGGGGCCTCACAGGAGCACAGGCGGGCCATCACCGGATACATTTTTCTTGTCGACGGTGGTGCGGTCTCTTGGTCCTCGAAGAAACAGGAGCTTGTCACGCTGTCCACCACCGAGTCCGAGTATGTCGCCGCAACACATGCCGCAAAGGAAGCCATTTGGCTTCGTCGCCTCATTGGCGAAATCTTCTCCCCGTCCTCCGAGCCGACCACCCTCCATAGCGATAACCAATCGGCCATCGCACTCACGAGGGACGGATCATATCACGCGCGCACCAAGCACATCGATATCCAGTACCATTTCATTCGTTTCTCCATCGACGCTGGCGACATTCGGCTTATCTACTGCCCTACCGACGACCAAACGGCCGACATCCTGACGAAGGCGCTCCCCTCCGTCAAAGTCAAACATTTTGCTGCTGCTCTCGGTCTCGCACCTGCTTGAGGGGGAGTGTTGGAGTGTGTATGGCGAGGCAAGCGTGGTGCGAGCCTCGGCCGTGTTTCGGGCGGACAAGTCTTGTCGCGCCATTGACGCGCCTTGTCCCGCCTTGTTCCGCTTGGGTGGTTTCACCTCGTTTTGTTCTCGAGTACGATGTCTCACCTATCTTGTAGTAAGAACGTCTTGTTAAGTTTAGTATTTAGTACTTTCGACTTGTACTAGCTCAACTCAGTCCCGCGTACAACGCGTACTGAGGTGAGTATATGTTTGTTGATTACTTCGTATACTTATACTGATTAGTACTCTGTAGTTACTGTTCTATAGGTACTATTAATATACATATAGTCCCGCGTACAACGCGTACTGAGTTACTGTTCTATAGTGTCTACATCAAGAAGACCAGACGCAGTCTTGTTATCATCGGTGTTCACGTGGACGACATGATCGCGCTTGCGGATACCACATCGCTGATGGATGATTTTGCTACAGAACTGGCCAAGCATGTCAAGATCACCAACATGGGTCCTCCGACCTTGTTTTTAGGCCTAGAGTTTTCACAAGATCGTACTGCACGCACACTGACCATTTGTCAATCACAGTACATCCTGCGTGTCCTCGAGTGTTTCGGTATGACGGACTCGAACCCTGTCAGCACACCACTCGACCCGAACGTCAAGCTTGTCAAGTGCGCTGAAAATGCTGATCTCACCGAAATGCGCAAGTGCCCGTATCAAGCCGTCATCGGATCCCTGATGTACACCGCACTCGGAACACGACCGGACATCGCCTACGCCGTGCAGGCTCTCTCCCAGTACAACTCGCGCTACGGCCCAGAACACTGGACCGCTGCAAAACGTGTCTTACGATATCTCAAGGGCACGCACACGTACGGCATCACCTACTTGGGCAAAGGTCAGACGCGACTTCAAGCTTATTACCTCAACCTTCGACTCGAGGGATACACCGACGCCGACTGAGGATCCAACCTGGACGACCGACGCTCAATCTCAGGGTACACGTTTCTCATCGGAAACGCTGTTGTTACTTGGAGCTCTAAGAAACAGACCACAGTAGCGCTCTCTTCAACCGAGGCTGAATACATGGCTGTCTTGTACGCTGCGCGACACACCATCTGGATGTGGGCGCTCCTCGCCGAACTCTCTTTCGCGCCGACCGAGGCCACGAAGCTCAACGCCGACAACAAGTCCGCTATCGAATTGTCCAAAGACAATGTCCTTCATGCGCGTACCAAGCACATCGATATCCGTCACCACTTCATTCGCGAATGCATCACTGCCGAAACGATCCGACTCGAATACTGTCCCACCAACATCAATTCCGCCGACCTCTTTACGAAGGCACTCGCACGAGATCGTTTCCAGGCTCTCCGTACGCAACTCGGCATCCTCCCGGTAGCGAGTTGAGGGGGAGTGTTGTAGTACGGACCTCACGCGTCCTTTCTCTGTTTGTTTGCTCTTTGTATCACTGTTGCAGCGCTTGACGTGCCAGTCAAGCGCCACTACGCTTTGCTACTCTACACTATGTATATATGTCGCGGCTTCCTTTCCATCGCAATCATCAGCTTCTCTTCCCTTCTCTCGATCACTCTCACGCCTGAACTCTAACAGAGTGTTGGAGTGAGCCGCTCCTTGAGCGTGCGCTTGCGCTTGGGCGGCGGCACCGGCTCTTCCTCGTCCGAGAACAGGGGGTCTTCCCCATCCGTTGTTAGAGGACTTGGTGCCTTCGTACGTCCAAGCCTTAACGTGGCGGTTCCACTCCTGATTGGAGATGGTTGGCGGCTGGTGTCTGGGCTGGACAGGCTGATGGACGCGCTGGGGACGTCCGAGGAGACGGTTTCCGTCTCGCGCAATGTTTCGGAGGAGGTCGTCGAGGAACCTGTTGAAGTGGGCAGCTGCCGCACGAGGTTCTCTAACGTCCGAATGCGCTCGGGGGTTGCCGGAATATCGAGCTCCTCTGCGAGGGATATGGCATGCGTGAGCGACAGGTACTTGTTGTTCCCTGTGGCCACGCAGACCGGCTTGCGCAGGAGGGCGCGTGGATCCAGCACCACGTCCGGACCCTAAGTAATGGTCGGTGTGGTGACGGTGTCAGCAATAGATGCGAAGTGTGCATGTTGG